AACTCTTTTATCTACTAACATTTGTATTCATTTTAATACTTTAAATTATAATTGTCATTTATTTTTGTAGTTACAAATGTGAGTAGAAAAAAGAGTTAACAATATTCGATTAACTTAATTTTTTGCAGGTATATTCTATTCAGTATACTCTAAAATGTAAACAGTTCGAATCATTAAAATAGACCCAAAAAAGGGCTTATTTGGCTACACAACAGGCACCCCAAATTCCTCTTGGTGACAATAATTTGAGGTCTCTCGGTGACAATAATTTGACAAGTAATATAACTTACGAAATTCTATTATCATCATCATATATTATCAAAAACAATGTTTTTCCCATACTTATGTGTCACATTAAAAGGGTTTATTTTTTTCTAAGAAAGTCGCATGTATTTTCTTAATTACATATAGAGTTCTACACAAATCCAAACTTAATTTAAATTGGATTTTTTATTTATAAATCTCATTTAGAGGTGTTTTAACCTAATATGGACTTTACCTATTTTATATGAACTTTATTTGGCAAATATTTATTTTCTATATATTTTTCATCGTAAATTGAGACAATCCACAAACCTAAGACCAAATTTGTGTTTCATGTTTTTTTTCTTAATTCTTTCCAGGAGTTAGGATTTTTTTATGCTAAATTGCCTTTTTTTTGTTTCTTATTTTTTCGTGTATTATTCTATACCTAATACCAATTTTACATTATTCTATATTATGAATTTATCATTTAAATTTTGTAGTGATTCTATATATGAAATTATACTTCATTTCCTATATTATTTTATATAATTATAACTCACAAGAGGAAAAATCTACACAACAATAATACTCTCGATGAATCTCTAAAGTTTGGATTTATTACTTGAGTTACTTTTTTAATTGTTGAACAGTAAGTTCTTTTATGTTTTGACATCATATTATAGATAATTAATCACTTCACACACTGAGATGTATCTATCGTTTGCATGTTTTCATTATTTTTTCTTTTTGGGTTTAGATGTTGTTATGTGATTCTTTCTTGGTTAGTCGTTGTTAAATTTCTTTTATATAGTTGATAATTTAATTTAATTAAAAGTGTTTATTTTACAATATATATATATATATACATATATATCATATAAAATTATTATATGATAATCTAACTATGGCATATTCAATTACAACATATTTATATATAATTTTTTAAATAAAATTTATATAATTTCTATTTCTATATATTTTTATTTTCCAAATGAATATAAAAAAAATTAAATAGTTAGAAATACTTTTAATTTTATGTTATTAATTCTTCTTCTAATTTAACTATTATTTTTAATATCAAAATGAGTATTTATTTTATTATTTTATAATTTAATATATATCATACAAAATTATTATATGATAATTACACTTTTATAATACGCTAGAACAAAAATTATCAAAATATACAAATAATTTAACTAAAATTAATATATATAAGTATTCAAGTAACAATTTTATAGAACGATAGCACCAATACGATCAAAATAAACAATTAAAATCATACTTTAATTTTAATTTTAATTTTAAATTAAAATTAAAATTAATCTTTTTATTATACACATTGTACCATTAAATATATTTTAAAAAAATATATGTACATTACACAAGTCAAGTGCTAATTATATGTAAAATAATTAAGCGTATTTAAGTATACTTGTAACTCATTATTACTTCTATATTTAATTGTGAAACAAAAAAACGCATATAACATTTTACTCCACACTCAACATAGATTTCGTTTGGAAAGTAGATTGACTTTTTAGCTTTAGCATATGATTAAAAAATTTGTTTGAGTTGTGCTTTTTGATTTTTTTGATTTTTATAAGAGAAAAAATAAAATGATTATAATTTTGATGTGATATTTTATCTTATTAATTTTTTAACTTATTTTATCTTTTTGTGATTAAATTAGCCTCTAATCTCAAAAAAACCTCATGCCAAAAGAGGGCATAATGTGTGGAGTCCACATTTCATCCACATTTCATATGAATGTATTGAAAATATTGTATGTCTTAAAAAATATCGTGTATTTGTCCATGACATATTTTAGTTCATAGTAATAGCTGGAGAGATTATACTAAAAAGTAATTATTATGTGTAATTGCCAAACATAACTATAAACTATAACTAAATATCACTAATTTTATAACTGTTACCCAAAAAGCAATTTACGAGGGGGTGAATTAAGGGTTGAGCAAAGAATTCGTAAAATTCGTAATTTGATTCGGTCCAGTCCAATCCGGTAGGTTTGAATTGGTTGTTTGAATCCGTGGTTCGGTTCTGGATTGAAAAATTAAAAATTCGTAGTTCACAGATCGATTTCGAATTGAAACTGATCCGGACTGTATACAAATAGCCTATGTTTATATTATACACCCTCCCATGTAGTATCTTCTCTCATTATATAAAACCTAAACCCAAACCTAAACCAGCATAGTATATTCTTTTATTACTTTTGTTTGTTAGTTTTTAGTTTTAATTTGTAATGACCTAAATATTTATGGTAGAACCAGATTTCTTAAGGTTGTTTAAATTCTAGAACAGTATGTCATTATTATGGAAAGACATGTTGATATTGTGGTTCTAATATGGTACTTTGTTTATGTTTTTATAAAATTAAAATGTTCTATATATTTTTTTTTGGTTATTTAATTATGTGAATCTGTGGCCCTAAACCGATCCAATCCGTGTTTAAATGGATTAATTCGGATTGATTCCACGATTTAAAAGGATTGGATTGGTTCCAATTTTTCAGGTACCATAAATAATGGATTGGTCCTAGTTTTACCCCAATCCGAACCAATCTGGACCATGCTCACCTCTGGGTGAATTAGCTTTCTACAAATTAAAACTAATAGTTACTCAATAAAAATTGCAAACTAATACAATAGTTAGAACAATAGGTATGGCAGATAATTATCACAATAATATCAGATAAATATAGCAATGCAAGCATAAAGAGACGAGGGAAGAGAAATGCAAACAAGATTTATAGTGGTTCGGTTTCAACCAAACCTACATCCACTCCTCAAGTTTCACTTGAGATTTTTTACTATCTTCTAGCTTCACAGGGTTGCTAGCAACCTCTTCACAAATGGAGCAATCTTCCACAAATTTTACACAGACTTTCCAAGTCCAAACTCTTGCCATCTTTAGTTGATTTTTAATCACACTCAAAGAGTCAAAAAACCTAAGTGCACTACACCCTTACAAGACTGCATATGAAGTTAATTTACTTTCAAAGAAAGCTATAAATATAATCTCTCAAAGATAGATATACAGAGGTGAAGCTTAGTGTTTTCTATATAACCTCTCACAGGCAAATGGACTTAAAGCTATAAGGCTTAGTATATAATTTCTGAGAGAAAAATGAAAACCAAATGAAGAACTCCTTAGATAATCAGAGAGAATGAGATTGATGAAAGATGAGAAATATTTTCTTGTTTGTGTTGTTGTTGTTTGTCTTTTATTTTATTTTATTTATTTTTTAGCAGGAGCACTTCTATTTAAGGAGAAATTCATTGACCGTTATATGTTGCTTGTGTTGAGAAGATTTAGTGAGATTTTGGTTAAATCTGCTCTACTCAGTCTTATATTTTCTAGACTTAGATGTTGAACAATGAGTTGAAAGATAGGCCTAATTGTTGACAAGTATTTTGAAAAAGAGTCGTTGCAGCATAGAGTGGTCGTCCACTCGGATGTCCCAGATGTAATTTTGTTCTTGGTGGTTATCTGCCTAGATGTCCTCTTGGATATTCGATCAAGTCTCGGTCGTTAAGGATGACTACCGCTGTTGTTGAGTATACTGTTGTTTGACAGTCGGTGCAAAGCAGAATTGAACTAGAGCGAAATTGGGCTAAAATGCCATGATTGGTCGTCCGACCGATCATCTCTCCGGACATTCGGCCCTTTCTGGGCGGGGCTGCCCTTCTGAGATAGTTCTGGGCTGTTCTTCTTAGCCTGTTAAGCTTCATTTTGGCTTTCAAAAACATAGTTAAAGACAAATATAATCATAGATTATAATGATTTAATCAAACAATAAGTTTTTAATTATAATTCATTTTTCAAAATAAATCAAAACATAATAAAAAATAATCATCAAAATCATCTTATTCATGTTATGACTAACAATAACTTATTTGGATTTAAAATTATGGTAAGACTTGAATTAATTTGTTATTTAAAAAAAAATTTCACCATTTATATATAATTTTATTATAAATAAATGGATAATATCACTATAAATTAAAATTACGAAGACTTACATGTAGGCTAATAAGTAAATTTATTATCCAATAGATTTTATGATAATTATTGACATTTTTTTATCAAATACTATTAAAAACGTCACTAATTGTTAATTTTCAACGATAGTTTAAAAATTATCACAAAATGTCACTAATTATAAATTTTAGCAACAATTTAAAAAAAGGTCACAAAAAAAAGTCACTAACTTTTAACTTTCAGTAACAATTTGAAAAATTCATTACAAAAAAATGTCATTAATTATAAGTTTTAGAGACAATTTACAAAAATCGTGACAAAAAAGTCACTAATTATCAATTTTTAGCGATATATGCAAAAAATCGTCATAAAAAAATATTTTTAACAACGATTTTAGTAGTAATTATTTTTGTTAATCATATTATTTAAAATTCATTACAAAAAAATGTCATTAATTATAAGTTTTAGAGACAATTTACAAAAATCGTGACAAAAAAGTCACTAATTATCAATTTTTAGCGATATATGCAAAAAATCGTCATAAAAAAATATTTTTAACAACGATTTTAGTAGTAATTATTTTTAATAAGACTTAATAAAAATTAAATTTAATTATTAGAGCCTATTGATAATTTAATCTTAAAATTTTATTTTAACACCAGTCCCTAATGATAATCTTATCCACGCGTAAATAAAAGATTTATTTATTTTTGTATAAAAAATAGTTTTTTGTTTTTTGAATTGCGTTTTGGATTTGGATTTTGTTTGGGCCAATGGGGCATTTTGGGGAGAACTAGGGCACAACTAATCAAAACATCGTCATCGGACTCGCACAGTTACTCTGTTCCTCTCTCCAAAACTGCTTCGCTCGCTCTCTCTCTCTCGCTCTCTCTGCCCTCTGAAAAAGGTATGCTCTCATTTCCATTTAAACTCTTTACTTATATCTATGCAGATATATATATATATATATATATATGTATGTGTATGTGTATGTGTATGTGTATGTGTATGCAATTCAAGTTTTGTTTGGATTTTGAAGTCATTGTCGAAAGCATTAATTTTTGAAGTGGGTTTTGATGATGTTGAGTTATATTACTGGAATTATTGTGATTGTGATGATTTTGAAGGGATTTTGATTCAAGTGTGTAGTGATTACTTTCATTTTAAGGCTCAAACATGGTTAATTATTTGCAGCGAACTATTTGTGAAACATAATCGTTGGTGATTTTTGATTGTTTAGAGATAACTACTTTTACCTAGATTTCTATACTCTTCACAATTTCTGTCAAACATAGAGACAAGTCACAATTCGAATTAGAGTGTAACCAGATGGGTACATTTTGAAACAGTACATTGCTGAACTGTGATAATGATGCATCATTTTTAGTGTTACTTTAATGGCTATTGTGTGGATATTGTGAGAGAGAGGAAACATATTCAATGCAACGGTGATAAACACTTAGGCCAAGTTTGGGAAGACTAAAAAAGTGCACTTTTTGTCTTTTTGAACTAAAAAATTGAGGTTGAAAATATGAATGTTTGGGTTAACTTTTTGACTTTTTATTGAAAAATGTGTAATAAAAAATTGTAAAAATTGATTTGTATGGAAAAATTTGAATTGGGAGTTGTGCAGCCGTACTTGTTGACTTTTTGTGAATAGTGTTAACTTTTTAGCTTTTTGAGTAACTTTTTGACTTTTTGACTTTTTTGGATCTTCCCAAACTTGGCCTTAGTATCACCATCCGATGACATGTTACCGTCTAGAGCACCGTGTATATGTTGCGGTTACTAAATTAGTATGAAAGATGTAATATCTTAAAAGTGGGGTTTACTATCCATATGTAATTGTATTATTAGTTGGTGATGGCACGTGCCAATAGAGCAAAATGGAAATCTAACCACATATGCATGCCCACATACTGCCACTAATCACTATGTGCATGTACTTTAGCCTTTGGAAGTCCTCACCAAAACCAATATAATAGATCACATTGTTAGATTCTCATTTTATTTTCAATTTCTTCTCCATCCTCACATCAATCCAATCACACAATTGGTTTTGGTTCGATTTTCGCCAGAACCTGTCAAATTACTGAAAAGATTTTCTCTTTGCATTAAAACATGTTATGAAAAAGTTAGTGCAATAGCATAATCTTTCTGTACCTTTGAAGATCTTTACTAGACAAACTATGATGGGCAGTTTAAGGTCATTACCAGGACCATAGGGGTATGAGGGTTGTAAATTTAATTCAATCAAACTAAGTAGCATGGACATGGAGGGAAGCCATGTTCATATCAGACATGTAATGGGGACTAACACTTCTTAAACACTTCTAAAAATGTATCCACCACTTATAGAAAATGTCCTAATTTAAAAATATAATCTCACAAATCTTGAAACTTCAGCGATGCTTCCTTGTCAGTCTCCAACATGACCTATGTGGTGAATTTCTCTCTTCATAAGTGATGTCTAACTTCTTGCGAATGAGACTATAACACCACTAATGCGTCTTAAAACATTTATCTAAGAAGAAATATCAGGTATACATGATTGGCACAAAGTAAAATGTAATGGACATTTCTCATATAAAAAATAATATAATGAAAAATTAAAAGAATTGTAGTAAGAAATGTGGTTGCATTGCAGTATATCTTATTGTTGTGAACTTAGAGTATCGCTTGAAAATACAAATATGCGGATCATTAATTGGATTATAGTCTTTTTATAAAAGCACAGTCACAGTATACCTTTTATGTAACTTGATAGTTTGTGTTGTCTTGTTATACCCTTGTAGGGTTTTCCTTGTTAACATGTCCTTGATGGGTCTTGTATTATTCACTCTTTTTTTTTATTTTATATACATATATATTTATATCCTACCTTCGAAAAAAAAAAAGAGGGACTAGATAAGGTTCAACATACAAGTAGGGTTGCTTTCCATAAGGGCAATTCATCAACTACCTTTTACCATCCTTAATAAAGAATAAGGGGCAAGAAAAAACCACAAACCCCATTTGGCTGCCCTTGCTTACTTGGGATAGTATTTCAAAAACCTAGCTTAGGGCAATGATAAATTAGTTTTGAGCAGTTTTAGTGTTCTTTATTTAACTAGCATTTGTGAAAAGCTCATAGAGTTTGACACCAAGAAGTTCATGTTGTCGGCAACTGGTAATGAATGGAATGCTATTTGTTGCTTTATACACCTGAAAGCACAAATAGGGTACCCATCCTCACTATTTTTTGATCTAGGTCCATTCCAAAGTTTTAAAGGCAAAAGCACAAGGCTAGGCGTTTTACCCCTAAAGAGGTGAGGGGTAAGCCTTGTGAGTTTTAATTAATTAATTAATTAATTTTTTTATAAAATTAATTAAATATAGCATAAAAAAGTATAAAAAAATAAGGAATAGCAAAGAAAATTTATAAAAACATTCTAGGCGTAAAAACAAAATGAATTAATAATCCAAGCATTGTAAAAGCAGTCTGAGCTATCCTCTCATTAGTACTATCATCAAAATAACTAGAGTGATAGATCATTCTAAGGTGCTTTCACTAACTTCTGTTATTTCCATAACAATAATCTAAGTCGAGTTCAACATTTAATCCTTATATTCTTTGCTATTGGCTATGATATGCAAATGCAAGTTAGGACTATTGGAATTTGCTCATGATTCAAGAAACTAAATGTTATAATTTATACATAATATGTTAGTTTGGCCAACATCTGTTAACTATGGATAGTTAGCCATTGGCTATATAATATGCAAATGCAAGTTAGGACTTTGGAAATTTCTCATGGTTCAAGAAACTGAATGTTGTAATTTATGCATAATATGTTAGTTTGGTCAACATTTGTTAGCTATAGTGCTATCAGGGAAAAAAAGGGAAAAAGTCTTAGTTTGTGTACTTATTTTGTCATGTTTGCTTTTGATTATCGATGTTTATGCTATGCAATAGTATTTTGACATGTAGCAATAGTGCTTGAGGTTGTTGATGATACATTTCAGTTTCATCCATCATGTCACTTGAATGTTTGATTTATTGTTTTGCCATGGGATCAAGTCTGTATCTTCAATTTTTATCCTTTTTCCTGGTACATTAGGACAGAGGCTGCAAAGGATATGTCTTCTGATACGGCAAAGGAAAATGAATCTGTTGTCGATTCATCAGTGACTGAATGGAAACATGACGTAGAGAATTTGGGTGATCATGGTAAAAAAGGATAGGAATCCTTTTAATTCTTCAATATTTTATTGCCTGTTGGTTGCTGTATCATGACTTTCATTTTCTCATTTTGTTAATAATACTCTAGCTTGAGTGGATTCTTTTATCTCAGTAAAGAAATCATGTTTAAGTTCCAAGCTGCCTATTGCCAGTTATAATTTGCAGAGTTAGCATGTGATTTATTGTGTGTTCAATTTGACCAAGTTAAAGTTCTTCATAACATTTGCATCTGTAACGAAATCCAGATAGGATTACATGTAGAGCGTTATATTTAAAATTTAAGCATTTTAGATTTTTGTCAATTTATTCTCCTTCCACAACCACTGAAGTTTGATATCCTGAATGAATGAATGATGCTACAGGGATTGGGAGTCTATTTCTTATTCGAAAAGAAACTCTGAACTGTTGCGTATGTGCCATTCTACTGGTACATCTTTTAAATTACTGGATAGATTTGCTATATACTTGTATTTGTAGACGTTCATATAAGAAGTTAGCCTTGGGAATTTTTTTACGTCCTTCGCATTCAACTAGATTGGAAACTATTAACATCTGTATTCTATCTCTTTGTGCTACCATGCTTTGTACAATCATCAACATAGGTTTTTTTTGGGTTCATTTAGTGTGAATTATATTTAAGTTGGTATGTTGTATTGGTTATTTATGGAATCGATTATATACATTTCAAGAATGAGTAGTATTTGAGCTCTGATTTACATCAGACTTAATCAACGGACAATTACTGAAATTTTCTTACATACTGATTATGAATAAACAAGCTTGAATTTTCTATCAGAGAGCCCAAGCTATAAAGGAAATGGGGATGCCTATGCCACAGGGGCAGATGTACGAGGACATAATTGTGACCAGGTGGGAAATTCATGTGTAATTAAAAAGGGTAAATTGTATGGCACAAGATATTTCATCATCAAGAGTTTGACCCATCAAAATATCCAATTATCAATTGAGAAAGGCATTTGGGCTACTCAAGTCATGAATGAACCCATTCTGGAAGAAGCCTTTCATGTAAGATCTTTCTTAGCTTAATGTCTTAAACAACTTTCTCAATGCCTATGCTTTACGGAGAGGCCTATGCTTGTCTTGCAGAATTCTAGTAAAGTAATTTTAATATTTAGTGTCAACATGAGCGGTTTCTTTCAAGGGTATGCTCAAATGATGTCTTCTGTTGGGTGGAGACGAGACAATGTTTGGAGTCAAGGAAGTGGTGGAAAAAATCCCTGGGGCCGCAGTTTTAAGGTCAAATGGCTGCGGTTACATGACTTGCCTTTCCAAAAGACACTTCATCTCAAGAATCCATTGAATGACTACAAACCTGTCAAAATTAGCAGAGACTGCCAGGTTACTATTACTAGTTTTGTTTTATTTTACTGTTTAAAATGTTTTCACGTGTTTATTGGAAAGGCTTGGAATGACTGACTTTGGTTGATATGCTTGTGTCAGGAATTACCCCAGGATATTGGAGAAGCTCTTTGTGAGCTCCTTGATGGGAAGGATGATACGGATGCCAACTTGCATAGGTAAAGCTTTTTCTTAAAGCTGAAATATGATAGGTTCTGCCAATCCCAGGTTTGTCAGCCTTGTTTGCTGTTGGCCTTTATGCATGGATGGTTTTTCCAGGGATGACCTTCCATTGAAAAGGCCTTGTATAGAGCATCCATGTGCTCTGCAAAATGAAGAGTGTAATGTGCCTGCAGTGCATATGACATGGGCTCAGACACCCATGCTTTATCCTTCCTTACTCTACCAACATGAAACCGAAGCAAGTAGATTCCATTCAGCACACCTGGCTATCACTTCTGGGGCATCAAAAGTTATGCGGGCAAAACATTCTCAGATTAATGGAAGCCTCACTAATGTACAGTTGGATCAGGATAATTCTTCTCGATTTGATGTTTGGGGTTGGTCTGCAGAAAGAAGCCCCCTTGCTAGTACCCTGACGGAGGACGATATTCTTGAAATGGTATTGTGGTCCTACCTTAGCTTCTATGTTCTGATTTATTGTACTTCATTGTTAACTTTTTTTAATGAATTTTCCCTACGAATTTGATGACGGAAATGATTTATTTTTGTAAAAATTCAATGTATAAAAAAGAAATAGAGAATTGTATTATTGATTGATATATGTTGTTGTATAGATATTTATTACAATGATTCATGATTCCTATATATAGAAGATGGTGAGTGTGTAGTAGGTAAGGAGTAGGTGAAGTGGAGGTGGTAGTGGTGTAGTGGGTTAGGTTTAGTGGAGTAGGTTTAAGTGGGTGA